TATGCTTGGCTGATACTAAATTTAATAAGAGTCTTTTAGCTTGTCAGGGTTTTATTAGCCACTGATTAAATTTCATATAGAAATTCCAGTTAATTTATTATTAAATTTATTAATAATCTTGATGATTTATTTTGTCAGAAACTACACATTTTTGCTACTAAAATAACGTCTAGAAACACTGATCACATTGATAGTTATATTCATCGATTTACAACGATAAAATATATTTAATTGCAGTTTTACGTAGATAGTCATTTCATCATTTTACGCAATTTTGTCCTTAAATAGAACATCTATTTGCCATGTTGAAATGTGCAGTTTAGATTAAATTTAAATAAGTCTGCCTCGACATCATGTTAATAGGTACTAAAAGTTTACAGGGGCAACTCCAGCTACTGCAAATGGAGAGCTCTATCTATGTTCATTATATATTTAACCTAGTTTTTTATAATGTACTCGTACCTACATAATTTTTCTAAATCATTTTAATTTGAAATATTTATATTTGCTACATTCGAGAAGTTTATAAAATACAAACTCTGACTTTTGAAAATAACCTACCATTTCAAAACTGATATGCTAAGTTGATTATAAAACAATTATTTAAGGAGGATCTGGGCTACGAAAAAGTGCAGCCAATTTCGTATTGTTGAGATATATTTTTTTGCAATGCGAAATTAAATTCTATGAATTATTTTCGAATTATTTATCGATTTGTTTATGTTTCTAAATAATGCCAAAATTTGAATATTTAACATAGGTTCTTTGGTTCTTATGGTATAATGCATACCCTTACAATCGAATTAGGGATGAAAAAATGAAAACGGTAAATCGAAAAAAATATAGACGCACAATTTTCTCTTCAACTGCTTCTTTCCTGCTTTTTATATTTTCTGTTCTAATTCTCAAGCACTCATACCTTCGTTTGGACACAAATTTTCCTTTCTACCGACTCATCCGACATTTTATACATACAAATAATAAACTCAGTATACTCGTGCACTGTTGCCAAGTTTCTGATGCAGCTTTTGGCATTTATTTATGCATATTGGGTAAAAAAATAACGATTGAGGAATGGAAATGTAAGTGTTTCAAACCCGATTTTATTCAGTATCCTTGTCTGCCACGACTTAAAATTATTACAGACCCCCAATATCCATTATCACGCACGAATTTCTCTGATCAGAGTAATTAAAGGCGTATCGCCACAACGACGGCGACGGAAGAAGAATTACGGCGATCAGAAAGGAACTTGCATAATCAGTTTCACCCTACCCGAATTTTTCACCTACTAACACATTAAGAACGGGATATATAACGGGATTAACATAATCCCGCCATTAATCGAGCAACAACACCGCTAAAATAAACATTTCGTGCTGGATATTTATAGCGCACAGCAGCTAATTTTTCCATTATTCGGGTGTATCCGTCAGAGGCCTGAATCGAGCAGTGAAAAAGTGAAGCCAACTACCCGATATCACGGGCGCGCTATATGTCTATACAGGGTGATTTGCTAACTTTGGCAAGAATGATCATTTTACTTAAAAATGACACCTGAAAGAAAAAATCCATTGAAACTGCATTCTAGCCTCCCCCACGACACACGACCCCTAATTGGACCGCCACTGATCATTCACCAGTCCGATCCACGTGTCAACGATTCAGGTGGTGATAGTGTCAAGTAAAACTGATGGATCACTTACTCCCTAACCTCTACCTAGTTCCCGGTTGCGTTTGTGGGGCCCCTTTTCAGCCATTTACCACCTTGTATTATTCAAAACAATTCCTACCTTCCATTCATAAGAGTATTAAGATTGAGTAGTTAATCAAAGCTTTGACATATTAGGGGAGCGTTGGGAAATAATCGGGGATCGGGCCAAATGAGGAAAAACTACGGGAATAAAACACCGAAGAAACCGTGCAACGCACAGTCTGTTAGGAGCGTTCACGTGAATTAATTTCTAAAATAAAACGTCGGTAAAATATTTACATTTTTTTTATATTTTCCCACCTTCTAAAGGTTGTAAATATAAGTACCTGCTTATTTATATGCTGTCGCCATTGTCAAATTTTTTGTCAAGTTGAAAAACTAATCCCCTACACTTAAAATACTGCTGCAAAGAACTATGAGATAATTATAACCAATAACTAATAGTTATCTCAGGAATGATTTTCTCTTCAATTTCTTTTCGTGTTAAATTGCATGTAAATGCACAACTTTTCTGTAATTAAACCAATTCGGGTCTTTCCAAATTCAGGGAGCCACCTTAAAAGCGGCCACCTGTACAAAAAAGTTAATTAAATGCATTTTCTGTTCGGCCGCCGCTCCTGGCTCGTAAAAAGTTACACAGCGCCCCTGTCGTCGCCCGCCACGTATTGTGCTGTGTCAGAATATTTTTGTGCGTGCCTTTCTTACGTAATATAAGTTTCATAATAACCATTTATATTGTACCATAGAAAAGACATAATCTACAATTTTATTTCTCTAGAGCATTTTGATGTCACGATATATATTATAACGCGAGCTATTACTCCTTATTCTGGTTATATGATTTTTATTACGTTTCGGTAAAAGTCGCCTTTACGGCGAAATAGAATGTTGACTGCAACTTTAAAGGATAGCACGAATTCTGCTGTTTATGTCGGTCTTCTAGTTACGTTGAAGGGGTATTTTTTAATTGAAACTTAAAATTTCCATATTCTGATATTCTGTTAATTTTTTATTGAATCTGCTGAAGAAAATACCAGTTCTTTTTTTACTGTGTATGTACATTCTTTTCAAAATCCTTTACTGTTCAAAAATTAACCAAAAACAAACCTAACTCAATGATTAAATTTATGAAACCCGTGATAGAAAAGTTAAATTAAAGGAACATGTCTTTCTTTCACCAGAAAAATCCTATATGACTTTAAGTACGCCGAGTCTTCAAACTACATCCATCTTTCAATTTCACAGACGTTTTCAGTCATCCTGACAGGAGTGGTATAAAGTTTCGCGCAAGTTCCGCAACAAAAATACGAAAAGTCAAGGAAAGTGAAAATTGCCGTGATATGTATTAGACGTGACAGTTTTACACATCGCAAAATTCACGTCTTTTATTTGTTTATCTTCGGCAGATGCTCAAATCCTCCGCCGCAATATATCTCGCTTACCTACGGATACGTAGACCATGACGGATTTGTTTTGAGGTGGATGTGAGAGGGGGCAAGCAAATTTTTTCTGAAGTACAACTCACATAATAAAAGTGTAGATCCCTAGATCTGGATGAGGTCCGGAACATTTTCAAAATTGCAAAAATGTTTAAAAAATTTTAATAATACCTATTTTATCTGAGTTTTTTACTTATATCTTGGAGCCTATGCATTTTGGAAGAATATTGAAGAGGAAAAAAGTTGTAAAATTGGATTTTGCACAATATACGTAAGTTAAATTGTTTTAAATTTATTACCGATGTTCCAAAATAGCAATAATTAATAAAAAAAAAAGGCAAAATATTCAAGTTTTTTGGACAATTTTTTTAAAATACTTTAATTACTCCGAGGGCATTCTAATTTGGTAAAAAAAACTTTAGAGTATAATAAAACAACACACCAAATTTCATTAAAATCAGTTCAATAGTTTTCGCAAAATAATTTTTTTTTAATTTTGAAAAAAAATTTCGAATTTGCAGTCTCAAATAAAGCATCTAAATACTTGAAAATTTTTTCACATAGAAAAGACCGCCCAACCTTTCAAATGATTTTTGAAAATTTAAAATCTGTTGATTAGGTAACTTTTTAAATTTATTATTATTTTTATTTTTAAACAATTAAATTACATTTATCAATTTGCAATTTAGTTTTTTTCAAAAATTATAATTTTAAAGTACTATTTTTTCTTAATTTTATCTGTATTTAACAATAAAATTAATTTCCAAATAATTTTTTTATATATTTCATAAATATTTCATAAATATTTCATAAAAATTCATAGGTTTCAGTATAACAGTTATCAGTTTTTCGAAATATAAAAATAAAGTCATAATTGTGTGCGTTTATTTCGTTCATACTGACATTTTTAAAGGAACAACAGGATTTTTTGTTTAATTTGTTTAAATTAGGTTAATACTTTAAAATGGAGTAAAAAACAAATAACGGTTTCGATTTGAGAAATAATTTTTGAGCGTCTTATCTTCGAATGTCCACGTTTTTGCATATCTACTCGCCGACAAACGCATTTCCCCTGTCCCACGCAGAATATGTCTATTTTAAATTCGCTCGTTCCCGAAGAGGGCCCAGTCAATAAGCCGCAACAATAACACATTAGGCAGTTCCGAAAACGTAATATTTTGACAGTGGCCTCCACAAACAGCGACCCCGGCAAAGGATTACGTATGGACGTCACGGTGGCGAGGGGGGACGAACGGGGAGGGGCGGCCTGAGTGAATTTCCCTCGTCACGTGGCCAACCTCGTTCGTTCCGGAAGCAGGAAAGTGTGAAATTGGAAAATCTTGGGAATACTCTCAGTTTTGCCACCTTTTTCGGTGACTTCTTGCCCGAATTTGACTCCGACGCAGAATTTATGGCTCGAATATAATAATAAGCGTCTAAGCTGAATCAAAATATGTCCATTTTAAAAAATTCCTTAATACGTTACTTTCTTAGCTCTAAAAGCAGTCGTACTAGAAGTTTAGTTGTTCTATATGCGTTTTTACTTTATATAAATCGTAAAAATTCTATACTTTAATACAAATATTGATATGCAAAAAGTGTAAATACGTCTTCATCAAATATTTTGGTTTTAATTTTTATCTTTTAACAATTTAAAACAACTATACCGTTAATAATTTTGTCCAAAATATTGTCCTATGGGTTTTTTTCATTGCATTTTAAAATTTTGTACTTTTTTGTGTAATATTTTTGTTTTGTTTTTGTGTTGTATTATCCTTTTATATTATTATGGTTATTATTAATAATATAGTCTAATTCAACAATTTTTAATAATCCTTTTATTTCAGAGCTGCCCAGAAACTGAACCTTTCTGCATCCCCACACAGGAGGAAAAGGTACAACTCCGACGACGTGGACAACACCGGATTCTGTGGAATACTTCAAAGATGTCCTCCACCCGTCCCTCCTGCCCTTCTTAGAAGGATAGGAGTAAAAGAGGTCACAGGTGTTGGGAAGGTAAGCTTGTACTCATGTCTGTTTGAGGAAGTACATAAGTTTTACTATGTAGCCATAAAAAATATAAATTCAAGTAAAAATCAACTTCAACAAAAGAAATAGTTTGTCTACAGGAATAGGACTCGTTTCTGAGACACAGATAGTCTCCATGCAATTCAGAATAAGTGAATCAAACCAAAACATTTTTTTTTGTTGAGATATAAATCCCAACACAGTCTATTTCGGAGAATTATTCTGTCAAAGGAGTGACTCCCATTTGATGTTTTGTAATTATCGAGTAAAAGAGCCGTCCTGAAAGGGTTCGCGCAACAAATTTCAATGACTTAGATCGACACAGAGGATTTTCTTGTCAAACTTAATTTTCGCTTCCTGTAAAATATAAGGAGGGGTATTATAAAGTCCTTATGAACTAATCCTCTTAAATATTACAGTCTGCCTGATTGGTTACTCGTTATTCGTCTTTTTTGTTCACATTAACCTTTGCTTAAAGAGCTTACTTATTACAGAACGGCCGATGGAGGGAGGGGAATCATTGATCGCCTTCCATTGCCAGGAAAATGAGGATGAGAGTAATCCTTTTCTATTTATTTGATATAACGATTCTTTCTCTTAGGGGTTCGCAATATTACGGAATTCTGAAGGTCCATTTCGCGATTAATGATTTAATCATAATTATAAAATTCTGACAAACCTGCACTGACCTTACACAGTAAATTTACATAATTAAAACGAATGCAACTTGCTGAACTTTAATGTAAAGTTTCCTGTTTAGTGTGTAATTATAATTTATAACTTTAGCAATAACTTTAGCCCCGACTAAAGAGACGACTATGACCTTAGAACTCCCAAGTATTATCGTTTTAATGCACCACCACGAGATTCGGTTCGCGGTCTCAACCCGCCCCCGACTTTTTCACCAAATTCAATATTAGGTACACAAAATAGCATCCTAATTCGAAAGGCCCCTATCAATCACGGGCCAGACGGGAAGTTGGTTGAGCATTGACAGTACCCTCCACTTCCTTGGAGACCCACGAATGAAACCCCAATCAGGCTCAATTATCATACTCGCCGCAACTGTGGGGGCAAAACCGACGGCGTGAAAATCAAACCTTTTCATTTACCCCCGAGGAAATCCGCGGGATAATAAGGGAGTCGGTATCACCAGAGGTGGGCCCCGCTTTAGAATGAGGTTTAAAATGTTGAAAAGTACACACTAGGGTGGCCCAAAAAAAAAACGAATAATTTTTTTCGTGTCTCTTGTGAAAGTATGTTAGTTTATCATGTTTTAAGAGCCCCCTCAAACAATCTGCTCAAAAAAATATTTTTTAGTGGTCGCTCGAGATTTTTAAAAATTTCCAAAATCGTCAAAAATTGATTTTTTTTTTAAATTTTAACTCGTTATTTTATCATTTTCTAGGTTGAAAAAAATCTCGACTGAAAATTTCCAATCGATATTTTAATTTCTAAAGATCACTCATAATTATTTTAACTTTCAAAGCAGCAAAACTAAAATGTTTTCGAGCGGTCTCTAAAAATAAATATCAACGAATTTTTTTATTTAATTTGATGAACAAAAGAATACAAATAAATCACGAGACATTTAAATTTAAAGAAATTAGAATATTATAAATATTTGATACTCAAAGTGCAGTAGTAAATTTTGCCTCGAAAATTTTTTAAGTGTTTCGTGATTTATTTCTATTCTTTTGTTCATCACATTCAATAAAAAAAATTAGAGGTCGCTCGAAAACATTTTAGGTACACTACTTTTAAAGTTAAAATAATTTATGAGTGATTTTTAGAAGTTAAAATATCGATTTGAAATTTTCAGAATCGGGATTTTTTTCAACCTAGAAAATGATGAAATAACGAGAAAAAAAAAATAAAAAAAAAAATTGAATTTTGACGATTTTGGAAATTGTTAAAAATCTCGAGCGACCTCTAAAAAATTTTTTTTAGAGTAGATTGTTTGAGGGGGCTCTTAAAACATGATAAACTAACATATTTTCACAAGACACGAAAAAAATATATTCGGTTTTTTTTGGGCCACCCTAATACAGATAGTCGCTATCGGCGAAAGGCAACTTAAATTTAGTTTCTAGAGATGCTAAAAAGACGTAGAAAATTATATTTTAATAGTAATATGTATTAGTAGTATTTTGGCATTGTAATTGAAAAAAATATTCAAATAATATGTTCGAGATATAAGTAACAATAAGTGACAGTTAAAAGGGGTAAACGCTAGAAAAAAAGTTGCTTATAAAAATTGTAGAGTATAAAATTTTACATAAAAATAATCGACTGACTTATGGAATGGTATGAGAAATTAAAAAGAATCATAACAAGCAGAAAATTTATGAATTTCAAGTTTGTTTGTTTTTTTTTTCACCACTGGCTGAGTTGAAAAAAAATCACTTATTGTTTTTATATACTTACTTCAAACTTATATCAAAAATTCAGGCAACTGTGATTTAAAAGACCATTCACTTGGACTATGAGCATACCTACGTAGGTACTACTATATTTTTTCTAAACTTAAACTTGTAAACTAAAATGTATTAAGCAAAGGAGATGTGAGATCTCCTGCTACGCGAGGGGATTATTTATAAGTGAATTCCGGTCTGTTGGCAGAACTGTGCGAAACAAATGGCCACCGAATTACCCCCGGACAAACTAAACCCAGTAATCCAATATATCAAACATTTTTCAACAAGTTAATCCCATCAACTAAATGATTCGACATAATCTAACCTTCGGGTCGATGCGAGAGGACTCCGGACAATGACCAAGGCTTAGCTTTACGGGACGAGGTTTGAGTAATGCCCCAGTTCGACTAGTGTACACTTCCCAGATGCGCCAGTTACTTTAGCCGGACTCCGGTCACGGCTCTAACTTGTATTTCTGCCTGTGCCGTTGTCTGGATTACCTATTATTTGACTCTGAACGTCCCTTAGTGAGAGGTCGCTTACGCTGACCGTTTCTAGTATTTAGCGTAATTGCCGTACACATGGGGTTTGATACGGTGGATAATCCGCCTTGTGTTCACTTCTATTTAAATTAAAATTAAGTCCTATGCAGATTTTTTTCACCCTGTACAACTTGCTAAGTTTCGGTAAATAACAAAAAACGAAATTGTCTCGAAAAGTTTTAAAATCGTACTGCTAATAACGTAAATATTGAAAATTAGTTAAATTTCTTGAAAAGCGCCCGCGACGCTCGCCGTAAAAGAGAATCGCATTGGTTCCCAAGTCCAATAAATAAGTTCCGCATAATGCCACAAATAGCTTTTCTCAGATAATAAGAAAACTAAAAAATTACCTCGCAAACCAAATCAATGGCGCATAACATTCAATGAAGCGCGTTAAACAGATTGGATACGAGACTGGGATGAAGAAGAGGCTGCAAGCAGAACTTTGTGATTGCCAATACTCGACCCCTGACCCGTCGAGCAACCCGTATCCCACTTCTGATGCGAACTGACCATGTGTGTGCATGCACCCTCTCTGAGTTAACCTCGCCAGCTTGCATTCCGCATTTCTACATAGCGGCTATTTTATTATAGCGATATATTAATAAACACTTTTTGCCGAGATATGTATAATTAGTTGAATTGTTAATTAAAGTTATTAATTGAACTAAGTTTCCTGTGAGATACCTTGACTAAATGAACAAAGCACGAGATTATTTAAAAAATATTAATAGAAATTCAATCTTCAATCATAAGCTATCCTAGAGAACTTTCACGATGGAGAAAACGCGTTAGCCATGACGTGCGAAGCACCACATATTTTGATTTTTTCGACGTATTTCATCGAGCCGGGAGAAAAAGTTGAATACAGGTTTAATTTTTAATTTCGCCCGGCACAGCACGCCTGATAGGACCCGAATATCGAGCCGATTCGAATATACGTTGCCGTGAAAACTTTCGTTCTTCTGTTTGTACTTCTCCCGATTCGTATTGTGGGATATATTATATTTTCATTTTATCCGGCACGAGTTTTCACATACACTTTATCAGAGCCGTTTTGTGAAAATATGAAATTTCAATTTAACGACAGGCCGACTCCGATTCCCCCGAGAGCCGTATTCGAGTGACCCTTGGAAAGGTTAAAACTCAATAAACCGGCGATTTTTCTCACGCTACCGGTCCGCAAGGCGGCCTGTTCCTCAACGGTCTATCGATTTCATTATCTATTACCGCTTTTTAATAAAAAAGTATTACGTTATCGTCTCTATATTTTTTTCCCCGTAACATTTGGACACAGGAAATTGTGTGCGTGTTTGTTATAACACTACTACCTTTTTCTAATTTTAATGATCTTTTTCTAATGTCTTTTTTCTTCTGTAATTACAATTACGTGAATGTTTAAAAAATATACACAGTAAATGCCAATACAAATTGTAATGGTCGTATTTTTTATTTGTAGAAGCCACCATAGGCGATACTGCTGCAATCGTATACTTTTTTGCAGATATAAAAAAAGTAGCGAAAATCACCCATATTTGTCAAGTCTACCTGACATTTCGGTCATAGTTTCCAAGACATCTTTCACATTTAACCAGTAGATATTTATCAAAAGAACGGGGGACAAAAAATTGCAACCAATCTACGATCCTGAACTATCCGACTGTTTTTGTTGCGAGCCTAGATTTCATTCAGCTGGATTTCCCGACACCGGCGAAATTTATGGAAATAACTTTTACTATTAATTTAATGAAAGCGTAATTATTCATTGCAAAGTAAATGCAGCTCGACGGCGTGCCTAGGGTCGCCCCGCCGTAAAAAAAAACTCCCCGAATATATAAAGAGGGTCGGATTGCTTAAGACAATCTATAACTTTCACTGAAAGCTGGAAGCCCTCATTTTTTACCGGCGACTTGTGTTTCATAAGCTCCGCGACGAAGCCGATGGTCCTCCGTGAGTAATTTTTTGCAATTTATTTAAGTGCTCGCCTATTTAAATGCCATGAAACAAGTTTGATATTAATTTGGCAATG